TTATATGTCTTGGAAAAAATACCCAATACACAAAGGTAATCCTATTACGACTTTTAGATAATTCTTCTTATGTCTGCTATTGTCTTCAGATTCATCATCTGGCTGTTGATGCTCTTCTGAAAAGCAACCAAGTAAACGAAATGGAAGGAGGCACTTTGTTTGGATTGGACCAGGACTTGAACTCTACCACGAATTTTACTAATGATAATTACTGCTTTGACGCAACGACCTCCTGTGCACCTGCATTTCGTGTACTCAAACAGTTGATCCAGAGATGCCTTACGGATGCAGTAACATCAGGAAACATATTTGCTGATGCAATGCTGCAACATTTGTATCGATGGCTCTGCAGGTTGTAACAACCTTGCTTCTTTCACCTCTGTTTTCAGTCGTATTTGATTGCTAATGCTACATCTGTTTTCTAACTATTACAGCCCCCGGTCTAGACTGCATGACCCAGCTCTCCACAGTATGCTTCACAAGGTAATTTTTGTAATTAACAAACTTCTGGGTTGTCTAAAAAAGAAACATAAAGAGTTTTATTTGGAAGTCAAGATGCATGACATTCCTTCTTGTTACTAGTACTGGGACAATCTTTTCTTTAACTCCTAAACAAATGCCTTTATAGAAACGTGCACTCCTGAGATCTATTTCCCTAGAATGTGTTCCTGCATGCTAATTCATTCACATATAGTTTCTCCATTTCTTTGCACCTATCAAAACTGATGCTTTAATATTTCATAATTGGCAGGTTATGCAAAAGATGTTTGCATTGCTTGTGGCTGAACTCCGAAAATTGGGTGCTGCTATTGTGTTTGCCAGCTTCTCAAAAATTATAATTGACACTGGAAAGTCAGATGTATCTGCAGCCAGAGCCTACTGTGATAGTGTTATTAAAACAGTACAAAATAGGTCAGTCTATCTCTTGAATCTGAAGATTTTTCCTCCAACACATTTAGTAACATTTGGCTTTCTCCCCTTATTCTTATGTATCTGCAGAGAATTGTTTGAGTGGATTGAACTTGAGCCCTTGCAGTTTTGGCACTCGTTGCTTTTCATGGATCAGGTTAGCTATTGCAGTTTACTTTTCTTTTTCTTGTTATTAATATTTTGGCTCTGTTATCTTTTCCTTCATTTCTCCAAGGAACGGATTTATGCATATGAAATCACAATAACTAGGTTTTTTGATGTGTATAAGTCAATGCTGATACATGCTGTACAAATTTTGGATTACTATTAGAACTGCTCATGTTCTGAATCTCTTGCTGTAACTTAATGGTTGTCAAATTTCCTCAGATCAAGAATTTCCCTGAATCCCTGTTTTTGAGTTTATGGTGATGAATTTGATGCCTAGAAATCTCTTGACAGTAGTTTTGTGCTAACTATTAAGGCCCTAGCCAGGCTTCTTTATGATGGGAAATGACTTGGTATTTTTTTTTTCAACCCAAATGAATGTTATATATGACTGCCCAAGTGTAATCTGAATGAAATTGCAATGCACCAGATTAGTAGGTAGAATCCATTTGTAAATAGGATTGGAAAGAGTTGGGTTGCTTGGGTATTCATTATTCTGGGTAAAGAGGTAGAAAGCTCATGCTCATTTAATGGTTCTGACAACAGATATTTTCTTTCTTTACTCATTTGTTTAATTTGTATGTCTTACCATTTCCCTTTTATGATAGTACAATTATGGGGGAATACAAGCTAGACTTAGTGATGGGCCTTTAGAAGTTAACTCAGAACCAGGTGAAGAAAGCGTGTGTGGTGAATCACAAGTCGACATTGTGTCAAGCTGGAACATTGCAGAAAATTTACCAAAGGCAACTCAGGTATTTCCCGCAGCTAGTAATTATACTGGAATTTTGCTTTCGTTACATGAAGGTGCAACAAGGTACAAGTGGACCTACCGTTGTTAAAAGTGTCAATTAACTTGGATGCACCATAGTGCAACAATATACAGTTGATCCTCGGGTGTCCTTGATAAGGTGTTCTGCCTTGTGAATCTCTGCTGGACTTTCATGCAGGATCATTTCATTTTGATTGTTTCGGAATTTATGTATATTCCATGGAAATTCGCACAAGAACAAGCTACACATCGAGCATCTAGTAGCGATGGTGATTTATGTACACCATCAATCACTGCTGCACTTGCTGAAACATTTGATTTGCAAATGGCGGAAAATCTAAAGAAGAAGGTATCTGCTATGACTCATTTGTAGGCATCCTTAATCATTTCAATTTTGTACTTGGTTCTTTAAAGCGTGAGAACTAAACTTTAGAAAATTCTGCCTGCAGATCCGAACTTACTTCACTGACAAACTTCTGAAAATTGTTTGTGACCCTAATCTTCAAATGAAAGTGATGAACAACTCCCAGAAGACTCAGGAGACATCAGATGCAAACTCACAATCTTATAGCCATGTCCAGAAGGGGGATCCAGCTTTAGAGTTCATTAAGCATGTCTGTGCAGTTTTGGCCCTTGACCAGAATGTGCAGCATGAAGTTCTGGTATTAAATGTTTTCGAGCTTTCCTTTTCTTTCTAATGAAAGAAATATGCATTAGTGATACCTATGCATCATTTGCTAAAAAGACTGAGTCTCTTGTCTATCCAGCCTCCTTGGGCTTTTAATTAACGTGTTCTGGCTCTTAATGCTTGTTATTTTGGCTTGTAAGCACCTATGCATTGATATCGTGACAAACCTGCCAAAATTAGTTGAGTTATTCTCTTTTAGCAACGATGCAAAACTTCCAAGGCTCCTATGTTTTGGTCTATTATCTGCTGCCTTCTTGTCTTTTTCCCCTTCTGTTGCCCCCAAAATGATATTTTTTGTAAATGCGAAGGACCTCTTCTCATTTACCTATGCTTTCATTGGTGATAAGTTATAACTAGTAGAAATGATTTTTGTCTTGCATCATGCAGTCTCTACTTCTGTCTGATGCCTTTTTCTGGTTTCTCTTTCACTGAATACATCATCTTTCCATCTCAATAAACCAGTGTGTTTTGATAATGTTTTGATCTCCTATTTTGTTGGCTCCTTAGAACTTAGAGATTCTGACTTGAAAAACTATGATCACTTTGGCGCATCATATCATGCTAGATTATTTAGTGATATCCATTGAAATGTGGAGCGCTAAAATAAATTGTAATGGTGTGTTGATTATGGGGCTAAACCGCTAAACATAAGTTGGATATTCACTAGTATGATTCTTCAGCAAGAATAACATTTCATTGCAGCATGCCGTTGATAAGTTTTTATTACTTTCCTTTGTGCAGATCATGAGGAGAAATCTATTAAAACTTGTTCGTGTGAGGGAATTCGCTCCAGAAGCAGAATTTCACAGTCTCTCTGTGTCGTATACCCTTCCAAATGTCATTTGCAGGTAAATGTAGGGGAAATAGGTGTTACTTTGTTCTGAAATGAGAAAGGATGGCAGTATCTGCCACTACTGGACTTTGTCTACTATAGAATCTTCAGGATATTAGTTGGTTTCTTATTTCCATTATCTGTTACTTTCAGTTACTGCAACGACTGCAGAGACCTTGACCTGTGTCGAGACAGAGCTTTGATTTCTCAGGAGTGGCGTTGTGCTGTGCCCCAATGTGGGCAACCTTATGATCGTGAAGCAATGGAAAATGCTCTTATTCAAATTGTGCGGCAGAGAGAGAGGCTATACCATCTTCAAGATCTGGTTTGCCTAAAATGCCACCAGATTAAAGCTGCACATTTAGCAGACCACTGTACTTGTGCCGGGTCATTTAGCTGCAAGGAAGGTGTCTCGGAGTTCTGCAATAAAATGCAAGTCTTCTTCAACATAGCTGTAAATCAAAAGTTTCAATTACTCCAAGAGTGCACTTCTTGGATTTTGGAAGCCAGATAACTACAGCCTACAGGTATCAGATAGTTTCACCTCATCATCAGCGATAAATTGTTTGAGATCTCAACATTTGCTGGCTGTTCTGCATGGTGCAAGGTTTCCTCATGGTGTCCAAAACAAGATGTAATTTTTATTGATAGACATTATATCGCGGAGTATTCTAGGAGTCCATGACATGGGAGCTGATTGGTTTTAGAAATTCAGCTGTTTCTACAGCTTCGGTAATTACTTTTTGGCTGGATAGTCAAGCTGGTATAATGCCCCCAAGGACTGCTAGCACTGGAGAAGTGCCAGTTACCTCTACAGCTGCTCCCTTTTTCGGAGAGGAAAGATGGATAAGTAAACGTTGCATCCAATATCCCATACCAGATTCCAGATTTTGCTGGTTTGGTAGAAAATTGATGACTACATACAGAGAATACATATAATTGCTTATTTGGAGGCACTAATTCGTCATCTTTTACAAGAGTTCCGTATCACGCGCTAGAAATGATGTATTCTGCATTTATGTTACAAGAGTTAAGCTGTATATATTCGTATTGCAAGAGTAGACGAAATGTAAATAGTCATCCTTTTTCAAAGCTTGTTGTGAAGCGTACATCACTCATGGGGATTATTTATGTAGTTATGAAAATAATGATTTTAATCTCTAACTTTGGACTTGACAAGGAACCAGCGGTATCTTAGTTTAGCTAGATATGCTTTTGACTAAAGTTGATTACAGAATGAACTACTGAATAGTGGAAGAAATACCGTAGAAACATAAACTTGTAATTTAACACTTGTATGTTTCTTACTCCTTTTTCCCTCTGCTCAAGGGGATGTATGTACTTTTCTGCTTTACTGAACAACTGAACTTGTTTTTTAGTAATAAAAAGGTTTACTGAATTAGGCTATCTTTCATAGTCTACATATCCCAATTCACTACCAAGACTCTGGAGGGTGAGGTGTATGCAGACCTATGAGAGGTAGAGATAAGAAAAATGTTTTCAAAACCAGTTTGGAAAAAAGACACGAGTAAAAGTTATGGTGAAAATACTATTGAAAGAAGGTGAAAATACTGCCAACAAAAGTAGTAAAGATAGCGCAAACAACAGTAACAAATTTGTAGAATAAGACAATATGATAATAAAAAGTTGTCAAACCTAGGAAACCATAAAACATTTGCTTTTGTTGGCGAATCCAGTTGCCAGTAACAATCTATACATCAAACAAGGAGATAAGTACAAAGTTTCCTCTCTTCCAGAGTATGAATCGTAAGTCATGGAAACAAAGTCCTCTACGAACACACTTCTAACACTAAAACATGAGCTACTTCATTGCTGCACTATCTGACTTGAGTATACATTTTTTTTTTTTGAAATGGTAAAGGACTTGAGTATACATACTTAAGCGTGGGGTTCTTTACCAGTAAAAAAAGATCAAATTCCCCTTCAAAAAAAAGGATAGAAACAAGGTGCAAGAAAGGAATAAAATGCAATAAAACATAATAAATTATTGAATGTGATGGTAGTAATATATACGACCATGTAACCATTGTTTTCACCAGAAGAACCATCTTTTCTTGGCAGGTTCAATTTCAGCTGGCTCATCCTTCTTCCTGTTCTCCATTCCCCCCTTCAGGGCCTCCAGCCTTTTCCTGTACAAGGATTAGAACTTAAAAAGAGGCTCCACATAAGAAAGTATGATATGCGTAGTAATCAATGGAACGACTGTTTGCATATGGAGCTTCTTTTCTTCTTTGTCAGCAATGCTCTTCCAGAGGTTCTCCTACGACTTCACTTTTAGTTGAATAATTATAAATAAAAAAGAAAGATTGTAAGTCTCGCAAGGACAACATAAGCCACTAGGGACTGGCTGCCAAATACTCAAGCTTAACTCTGCTTTGTCAAGACCTAGTAGTAGGTTTGATAGGGTTGTCCGCCGAGGTTCAAGCTTAAGACAGATACATCTCGTGAGACTTACAAACCAAGTCCAGCTTATACATATATCAGCAGTTTAAATTGTTAATGTTTTGTAGCTGCATCCTTATTTGGCAGAGGATGTATCTAAACAATCCATAGAATATAGCAAAACTGCTTGTAGCACATGCAAAAGTAAATAAATTAGATGATGACTAAATCTAAACATACTTATTATCAAATTTAACGTTTCACCAAATTACAGTTTTATACCACAAATAATGGCATGCTTAGTTTTACCTTGTGAAACAAGTGGATTTTACATTAGATGATCCATAATTTGAAACACAAATTTTCCCAAGGTCCCTTGCTTAATAAAGATTATGCTAGAACCAACTGCATCAATTGCCAAATGCCAAGGAAGGGGCTATGCAAATAACTAACAGAAAAATCAGTTACAATATCATACTTGGTATCAGTTAGGCGACCATGTAGACTCCATCGCTGCCGAAAACCATCCATACCTTCAGCTCCACTTGCCAAAATCAAGCGCCTAGAAAAAAAAAGAAGACATGCCACAGAATACTTATTATATATTACTTCACATAAAATGCTATAGACAAAAGAGTAAACTCCATATTCCAACTTATGTTTTTCTTTTTTTTGTGCAGCATCCTGATAATGGTTTCAACTAGAGAACAAGACAATCACAAGAAAGAACATTGGCACCATTACCAGAACAAATATAGCTTATGTTAAAACCATTTGTACATTCCACAATTAAAAAAAGACGTGCATTCAGGGTCATTGAAGTATTAGTGACTTCAAAATTTGGAAGGACATATCCCTAGTTTATAAATAGAATACGCCTGCAACATAATAATGACTGTCCCACCGGAAGACGGTAACAGATTGGAGATGAGTAATTTTATAGAAAGCAAATTGGCAACCACAGGAGTTGGCCTAAGTTAAAGGCAATTCTAAACGCCTCGAGGTAACCATGGGAACTAAAGTCTCATAGGGCTAACACCTCTACATATGAGAAATCTGTTCAAGCACTTTTAAGCCCTTGAGTTGTTTGCCCTGTATGTCCAAAAATACATGCACGCTTTCCCTCTTAAATTATCTGCCTTGTACACCAATTAAATTATCTGCCTTGTACACCAATATTCTATAATTAAGGATTTGATGACTAAGAATATAGTTGCGTACATACATTATTATGCTTCACTAGTTAAAAGGATTTTGTTACTTTTTTATTTTGAATTTTTTTCATTTTAGTAATTTTCTATATTTTTAAGATTCTAAAATTTTAAATGTTATTTTTCTCTTTAAAAAAATATTAAAAATAAAAATTTGTGGGGCTTGCGCCCGTTCCATGATAGGTAGCATGCCCCGCCCTTTGCTTCCGTCTTTTAAAATACTTCGTATGAGCTTAATGTATGAATTCGAAACAAAAATATAAGCTATCACTTTGAGATTAAGGATGATACACTTGCAATTAGAAGAGAAAATATCAAAAGCAAAGACAAACTTGATTGATATATATGGAAAGCACTTCTTGCAATCATTAAAACCGTGTCAGTACTACATTTTATCGTAACAACATGCCATTGATGATAACAACGCTAAATCTAAGGGCAGCCCGGTGCACTAAGCTCGCGCTATGCGCGGAGTCCGGGGAAAGGTCGGACCGCAAGGATATATTGTATGCAGCCTTACCCTGCATTTCTGCAAGAGGCTGTTTCCACGGCTCGAACCCCTGACCTCCTGGTCACATGGCAGTAACTTTACCAGTTACACCAAAGTTCCCCTTCTATTACGAAGCTAAATCTACTTCACTAATATACATAACCAGCAACTTGTTTATGAATAGAACTAGCTTCATTAGTTCGTTAGCCAGTGAATAAGAAGACAAACCAATATAAGCTATCGCCTTGAGATTGATGAGCTTAAATTATGAATTCAAAACGTACAATATAAGATATCGCCTTGAGATTGAGGATGATACATTTGCAATTAGAAGAGAATATATCAAAAGCAAAGACAGACATGACTGATAATGAGAAGGGAAGTGAATAATATGGAAAGCACTTCTTGCTCTCACTAAAACTGTGTCAGTACTACATTTTATCGTAACAAGTGAACCGTCTCACATGATCGTGAAAAGGGAAACCAGACCTGAAACATCAGCAATAACACAAGTCTAAAATTCACTCTGATTCCAATCGGAATCACACCCGGGGCATGCGTTGATGATAACGAAGCTAAACCTACTTCACTAATATACATAACCAGCAACTTGTGTATGAACAGAACTAGCTTCATTGGTTCATTAATCAGTGAATATGAAGACAAACCAATATTGAGATATAGTCCGTCTTTATCAGGTCAAACACAATGAATGAGTAAAGCATGTTTTTATTGTTCTACAGACGAACACAATTTTTAAATCAAAGGTCAGGCCAGACTCCTCGAAAGCAATACTACTATTGGTGTATTTTCACCTAAAATAATAGATTGAGACTACTTAAACTAAGCATTTTACATACCAAGGCTCATACACAAATAAACTACACAGGTAATAGTAATATCATGCAAAGGAGCTGCAATTGATTCTAAGAGATAGCCGGGAAGTTTCTATTGACTAAACATTTTTTCGATAGTTTTTCCATTGACTAAACATTTAATGAGTCATAGCTAAGGAAAAGACAGATTCATCAATATCATTACTAATCTTTACTCTTAACATACCTCTCCAGTAATGTGACTTCTGATTCTAGTTGAGTGGCTCGATCTTTTGCTTGATCTAGAGGCATTGACAATCCTAATTTCTGTTCACTATCTTGAAGGCGTTGCCTAAGCTCCTTATCCTACACATGAGGACTTCACATTAAACTGCTGATATAAAATTAGTTGTTCAAGCAACCAAAAACCTCATTTAAAGTACATGAAAATCAAAACTATATGAGCAAAAATGTTAAAAAATTTAATCCAGTTGTTATCATTCTCACCCTTCTCTCTGCACATTGCCGATACAAAGCAATCTCATCCTGACAGAATGGCTCAATATCATTGATTTGTAAGCCTAAAAAACAAAGCCTTGATTGATGAGCACAGTAAAGCACATGAACCAAAAAGGGATATTTGAGAAAAGGTAGACATACAAAGGAACAGATTCCTCAAGATTCCGTCGCAGAGATCAACACCTTCGAGTACATGAGACGCTATCTCAGGTGGAATGAGAGGTGATGGCGGGCCCATCATCAGATCATCACCCACCAGGATAGTTTCCTCCATTGTCTGCTGTGAATCAACTAAATACAAAAACACACAACAAATATAAACATAAGTCGAACTACTAGTCCTTTGCACTGCAGCTTCCACAATATAGTTCAGCAAGTGCAAAGTGCAAGTAATGATGAGTCTCAGAAGCTCAGGCTGCAGTTCTATAAAAAGGGTCCCTTTTATATTTGTTCCTCCCCCCATCCCCCTTAAAACAGTGTTTTCAAAGGCAAAAAGCGGAAGAGCACAAAGTGTCCGTTCGAGCTTTACACACCACTAAAGCTCGCGCTTAGTGAAGTATGGTGAAAATGAGGAAAAAGAATATATGTAATTATAAAAAAAACTACACGGACCAAGAAATTGAAATATCTGCAATCAAGTGAAAGTACAAATAGTGTCAGTAAAATTCAAACATGCATGTTAAGTTCATGAATCAAATGCAAAAACATGATTTATACTTCTAATTTAGACTAGCGACTAGATTTCTTACTTTAAATCTCTAATTTCACATGACTCTGTACTTAATCTTTCATCAAGAATTCATCCATCATTTTAGTGACCATAATACTACTTCACCAATATTTTCAATGACAGGAAAATCATGATAACATTTCTAAGTTATTGAATAATTTACATTCTTTAGGCTTAAGAAAATCAAAATGTAGCTTGGGGAAAGGGGTAAAATGAAAAAAGAGAATAAAATGTTGAAGAGAAAAGTGGGTAATGCAAAGAGTATTGAGTTACCATCCATGGTTTCCTTCTTTTGCTATTGCCCACCAGGTGTTTGATTCTATGCACAAAAGAAGTGATTTTTTCCACAGACACTCCAATGAATTTCTTCAAGATGTCAAGTCGATACAGATGCAACGGGTAGTTGGTAAGGGTGCGAATGTATTTCTTGTGTTTGGCAGTTGAAACACTGCTGCACTTCGCTACAAAACAAACCAAAAAGAAAATTATGAGAGTTAAGAATATAGAGGAGAGAAGAGAAAGATCTATTTTTCTTTTTTTAACTTGTGCAAGTGTTAATCTCCTATTTTGGTCCTTAAAATTTGTCAAAAACAATAATTTTAGTTCTCTTTCTTTTAATTTCTTTTTGTCAAAAATAAATGTAGTCATATAAATTTTATTGGAATTAAATCCGTAAATTAATTGGAACTATATTTTAAAATTCAAGATATATCAGTTCAAATAAATTTATTGGACTAGTATAATGGGAGAATGACACAGTTACCCACAAAAACAAAACTATTTGCCCTTGTCTACCCATTTGTTTTTCTACCCATCAAACTAATTATATTTCCTACCCATAATAGTTTTTGTAGGGAATTTTTTCTTTATTCTCCAATTCTTTTTTATTTCTATGCTTCTTTTCTTTTTTTTTTCTCGTTTTCTTCTATTTTTTTCCTTTTTCCTTTTCTAATTTCATTTAACTTCTATTTCTTATATTCTTTTTCTCTTCATAATCTAATTTCATTTACTGTTTTCACTATTTTTTATTATTCTTTTTTTATACTATTACTAAGAAAAAATCAAATTGTGTACCAATTAAATGTAGCTAATAAAATAAAAAAATATTAACTAACATATGATACCAGTATAGTATATAATTATACCAATAGGGTATACAATTGTACGCAAAGAGTTAAATTTTGTTTTTCTTGTTTTGAGTTTCAAAATAACCACAAACTCAACAAACCCAATTTATGAGTTTCGAAGCATCAAGGTCCTCCAATGGCAGATTAATGTTTTGCAGAAGTCAGAAGTCTTGGAATTCAAGTCATAGAATAAATCAAAACGAAAAAAAGATTTGCATTTTCAATTTGCCCTCCCCGCTGGGTAAAAGCTTAAAGCAAATTAAAAGGAAAAGGCAAGTGAATTTACGGGTACTAAGTATACTATTATGGTATATTGTATACTATTACAGCATACGGTCACAGTATATTGCATATTATTATAGTATACTATAACAATATATTGTATACGATAATTGTATACTGTTGCAGTATACTATATGCTCCTATAGTATATTGTATACTGTAGCAGTATACTGTTAGGTAACTGTGTTCTTCTTCGATTATTATAACATACCGTTGCAGTATATTGTAAACTACAATAGTATACTATTGCAGTATAGCTATATACTCCTACAAAATATTATCTACAGTAGCGGTATACTATTGGGTAGTTGTGTTCTTCTTCGATTTTCAGCTGAAAATTTCGATCTCAATCACCTAAAATCAGCTCCAAATGCTATCAAATTTTGGTATGAACTTCCAGAAGGTACTATAAGAATTATTTAACAGCACCCACTTTGAATTAAACAAGGAATCTTCAAAATAAAAATTTTAAATTCAAGAGCTTCAAGCCCAACAATGGTGAATATTCAAATACGCATAAAAATTAAGATCCGGGAAGCTTACTTGAAGGTACTATAATCAATATTTTATAGCACACACATCGAATCAAACAATAAATCTTCGAAATAAAATTTTAAATACAGGAGCTTCAAGCTCATCAATGGTGGATCTTCATACACACACAAAAATTAGAGCTGAGAAACTTAATATATAACTGCAACAACACATGGGTTCAGAAATATAAATAAATACAAAAAAAAAAACATACTAATAGAGAAAGAGGATTTTGGAGTGAAACTCATGTACAATAATATTGAAGATAGAAATAAAATTTGAAGAAAAATTCACAAGTCAAATCACTAACTGCTGTGTGAAATATGATTTCTCATGGTTTGGCTATGGGATTTTTAAATGAAAGAAATGGTTGGGTGAAATAGCGTTAACTGAGGCATTAAATGAGGGAATTAAGCTAATGCATAGGCCGGATAAATAGTTTGGGCCGCATGGGTAGGAGAAGTAGGGTTGTGCATAATTTGGTAAATACCGAATTACCGTACCGAAATCGAAAATTATGGCATTTGGTATATTGGTATTTGGTATGGTATTTGGTTTAAATTTTAAAAAAATTGGTATTAGGTATGATATTTGGTATTTTAAAATAAAATACCGAAATACCGATACCATACCGAAATATATATTATATTACACAAACACATATTATCAATTACAACATAAATATAAAATATCTAAAATTTTACTTTCCTTTATTCTCTAAGTTCATCAATTAACTCTAAGCAAGTAACAAGACATTTGTAATGATCAAATATTATTTTATCTACAGTTTTTCTATTTGGGTCAATATTTGCTAGTTTTGGACAAAATTTTTGTCAACAAATATTTTTATTTATTTTTTATTTTTGAGTACTTTAATTAAGAATATTAGAGTGTATGGCTCTATGCACTAGTTAGTATTCTAACCGAATAATGCGAAGTTACCGAACCGAATAAACCGAAATCGAAAGGAGAAAAACCGAACCATACCGAATTTAATTAGGTACGGTATTGATATAGGATTTTAAGAAACCGAAGACCGAATCGAAATGTCTAAATACCGTACCATACCAACCGACGAACACCCCTAAGGAGAAGTAAATAATTTGTGCGTAGGCATTAAAGGATAAATAGTTTGGAATTAACGGGTATAAAGTGAGATTTTTGTTGGGAGAATGACACAGTTACTCACAAAAATAAAACTATTTACCCTTGTCTACTCATTTTTTTTTCTACCCATCAAACTAATTACATTTCCTACCCATAATAGTTTTCATGGGAAATTTTTTCTTTATTCTCCAATTCTTTTTTATTTCTATGCTTTTTTTTTCTTTTCTCCTTTTCTTTTTTTTTTCGTTTTATTCTTATTTTTTTTTTATCTTTTTTCCTTTTCTAATTTCATTTAACTTTTTTTTTTCTATTCTTTTTCTCTTCATAATCTAATTTCATCTACGGTTTTACTATTTTTTATTATTCTTTTTTCTATACTATTACTAAAGAAAAATCAAATTGTGTACCAATTAAATGTAGCTAATACAATAAAAAAAATATTAACTAACATATGATACCAGTATAGTATATAGTTATACCAACAGGGTATACAATTGTACGAAAGAATTTTTTTTCTTGTTTCGAGTTTCAAAATAACCATAAACTCAACAAACCCAATTTATGAGTTTCAAAGCTTCAAGGTCCTCCAATAGCAGATTATTGTTTTGCAAAAGTCAGAAGTCTTTGAATTCAAGTCATAGAATAAATCAAAACGAAAAAATGATTTGCATTTTCAATTTGCCCCTCACGCTGGGTAAAAGCTTAAAGCAAATTGAAAGGGAAAAGGCAAGTGAATTTCCGGGTAATAAGTATACTATTATGGTATATTGTATACTACTACAGCATACTGTTACAGTATATTGCATATTATTACAGTATACTATAATAATATATTGTATACTATAATAGTATACTGTGGCAGTATAACTATATACTCCTATTATATATTGTATACTGTTAGGTAACTGTGTTCTTCTTCGATTATTACAATATACCGTTGCAGTATATTGTAAACTTGTCACGACCTCAAAACCAATCCGGTCGTGATGGCGCCTATCATGAAACTAGGCCAGCCGACACGTTCCCAAAATAATTCGACATTTCATTGAAACTAAAATAACAACCTTTTTAATACTGAAATTTCCATAAAAGATATAAAGTCAAAAATCAAAATGCGGAAATAAAGCCCGACCTGGGGTGTCACTAAGTCATGAGCAAATACTATGACTGTTCTGAAATATAACAAGACTAAGATAGTCTGGAAAATCAACTACTAATAACTATAGGGAGATAGGAGGGAGAAGAGCAAGGCTGCGATCGCCATAACTACCTTGCCAACTCCAAAATATCCGCGGCGAATGAAGATCAACGCTCACTAGCACGTCCAACAACCCCTAGTCTACACACAAGGTGCATGGAGTAATGTGAGTACACCAACTCAGTAAGTAATATAGGTAAATAAAGGCTGAGCAGTAGGAAACACATAAATCCACATCATGAAACTTCAGAAATTACAACATGCTTTCAAATCAGTATATGAGTCAAATCATCTCGTTTAAAATCCAGTTTTCGATAAAAATCATTTGAAGATGCTTTTCAATAGTTTCAACAAAGGCTCAATGAAATTTAGAGTAAAAGTGATAAAATCATAAACAACCCCTCGAGCGAAACATGGGTCGTATACAGCCCCTCGGGCAACATGAATCATAAACCGCCCCTCGGGGGCATAACATCACTCAGAATCAGCCCCTCAGGCGAACCTCACAGTCACTCGTAAACAACCCCTCGGGCACAACATGAATCAAGAGCAGCCCCTTGGGCAAAACATCATAGCACTCACTAAGGGTACCCGGGCTCACTGGGGTGTGCAGACTCCGGAGGGGCTCTTACAGCCCAAGCGCTATAACAAGCCACCTCGTGGCATAATACATCAGGCCCTCGGCCTCTCATAGTCACAAATCAGTAACAACATACTTCGGCGCGCAACCCGATCCCATGATATCCTCACAACACAGGCCCTCGGCCTCACTCAGTCAGAAACCTCTCAAGCCCCTCGGGCTATCAGTAAAACAGGGTGCTCAGCCCAAATATCATTTTATGCATCAAAACAGAGTAATAAAGACTGAGTTATGAAATCAGTAAAACATAGCATGACTGAGTACAAATCTTAAATCAAAACAGTGAGGAAATAATAAGAAAAGGCCCCTAAGGGTCCAAACAGCTTTGGCACGAGGCCCAAATATGGCATTCAACCAAAATTATAGGAATTCTTTTTAAAACACACAAGTATCATATAGTTTTCAGTCAAATACGCAACTTAATAGTTGCTACGGGACGGACAAAGTCACAATCCCCCAACGGTGCACGGCCACACGCTCGTCACCTAGCATGTGCGTCACCTCACAATAATGAAACAATGTGAAATCCGGGGTTTCATACCCTCAGGACAAGATTTACAATCATTACTTACATCAAACCGGTCAAATCCCTACTCCGTGATGCCCTTGCCTCTGGAATCGGCCTCCGAACGTCCCGAGTCTGATCAAAAGCAATACAATGCAATCAATATAGGCCAATGA